AAAAAATATTAAGTTACCTACGTTACGCAAGCTTTCATTATTAAAATTCGTACGAAAAATGTCAAAATGGAGGGAAAAAGAACTCGCAATTTCCGGAAAGCATAAATTTCCAAGATGGCGTCGGCAACAATACGAAATGGAACGAATTCGAATTTGTCGTTGCAATGCGTCACGCGTTACGTCACGAGTTCTACGTCATAGATGTAATATTTCAAGTATTTTAATTAAATTTTCTAAAGGAAAGTTTCTTTCGACAAATTTTTTTCTCGGATTTGGCAAAATATTTTGTTGAATGTAAAAACTTTGCTACAAAGAAATTTATTCAGATAAACGTAATAAAAACACTTAGATGGCACACAATAAAAATAATTTCTAATAAAATGCGTGTTAGTATTTATTTTCTCGATTCTAATGTACATCTTTTTTAGATATTTTTTTAATCTTAGAGTGCGCATTATAAGCAAGCACAAAGTCGACTTAAATGCTGCCTCGTTGACTGTTTGTTCCTCACTCCGCTCGGCAATTCGCGTACATTACGTCGTTATAAACCTTCCCACTAATCCGGTTTTATTTTGAAGCTGTTTGATGCTCTTTTAATAATCCTTTAATCTCTTGCAATATAACAACTTTTATATCATCATCATTTGCATGGCAGAAAAAGGCAAACAATGCACTTGTCCCTCCCTGGGATAGAGTAAGAAATTTCACAAATTATTATCATAAAAGTAATTGGGATATGTAACGTGGACTGTTGGATGTTTTGATGCAATCAATATCGTATTTTATTATACTGTACTGTTGTGTCGCTATCTGGACTCACCTGTTATCTGCCGATCAACATTCGAGAGAGTCGGCCCTCCAAATAGTAAATTTTTATCAATTGCTTCGCGTGAGAGGAGTTTCAGCAAACTAAAATTAATTAAAAATTACATGCGGGCAACAATGACCCAAATGAGATTTAACAATCTTAACATATTAACAATAGAACACGAGTCAACACAAAATATAAATTTTGAAGATGTGATTTCCGAGTTTGCAACTATTAAAGCTAGAAAGAAGAGCTTTTAAGTGTTGGTACATAATATGTATATGAGAGTATATTAATTCTAATCTCATTCTTCTTTTGCCATATCCAACTTTCACTTTCATACATCAATGTGAAAGAATGTTTAAAGTAATCGTGAACTTCTTATGTTGATATTTATAACAAATAATGATTTCATAAAATTTGTACTAGGCAAAAAATGTGAAATGTCTTTTTTCTTCAAATGTAAAAAAGTTGCACTGTTTGCAGGTTGATTATTCTAATAAATTTCGATATCTTCGTCAAACTATAACATGCTAAAATTTATTCATAACTTTCATATCATTGATAAATTTTGAAAATAACTTTGATACCGCTATGAAAGTACAGTAATACCTCGTTGACTTCGGTTATCGTCGGTTTCGGTTTTCGTCGATTTTTTTCCACGAAAAATTTGTCTCGGTTTTCGGCGGTTGCCTCGGATTTTGTCGACGTGCTCGTGTGACCTCGCTGCTAATTTTGCAAAAACAAAGGGTGACGTTTTCCTGCTCAGTGTGGAGTTGTTTCTCGTTATGTGAGCATTACCCCGCGCGTCTAGCCATAGATCAATGTGAAAGAATGTTTCGATTAGCGATTTCCCACGCTACAAAAGAAGGCCTTCCAAGAAATATAGAATTTCTTATTAAAGAAACATTTAATTGGTTTTCTCATTCTGCGATTAGACAATCCAAATACAAGGAACTCTATTCTTTGATGAATGATGGAAATGAACCATTGAAATTAGTACAAAGTAGTGAGACTCGTTGGATGTCAATTCAGATCGCTATTGATAGAATTTTGAGAAAATGGAATGATTTAAAGGCAAATTTTAATTTGGCCAGAACAAACGAAAGATGTTATACGGCAAAAATTTTGTTCTCAATGCTTGATGATCAAAGAAATTTCTTATTTCTTTTATTTCTTAAACTTGTACTTGATGAAGTTCAGAGATTAAATAAAATATTTGAATCTGAGAATAATGATCCGACGAAGTTGCTACAGGACTTGCTAAATTTAATAGAATCTTGTTGTTCTAAGATTGTTATTCCAGGAACAAAAATAACAAATGAAGTAGTAATTGAAAACCATTTAGCACTCAATCCATACTTGGGTTATCAATTTGAAACTGAAATAGACAATTCTGCACTGTTAGATGAAGAAAAGAAAAATATTCGTAGTCGCTGCATTGCCTTCCTTTTGTTTCTTATAAAACAACTTCGGCAAAGGTTACCTGACAATATATCAATATTGAAAACCATGACGTCACTAAGTATTGACCAATGCCTCAACCCAATTAAAAGTGATATAATAAACCTTGCGAAAATGTTTCTCATTGATGATGCAATATTAACTCGCATTGACTTTCAATGGAGGAAAATCCATACAATTCAGTGGAAAGAAACTTCCAGCACGATAAACCTGTGGATGGAGGTAGCTCAATACCGAGATGCTGCCAGAGAAAATCCCTTTCAAGACTTGGTCAATTTTGTTTTAAAAATTCTTTTATTACCTCACTCAAACGCAGAAGTAGAGCGTTTATTTAGTCAGATGAATATTGTTAAAAATAAAATAATAAAAACTTACTTGGTGAAATAAAACGTGCGGTGGATGTACCGGTACAAAATATTCTTCAATTGTATGAATATACTTTTAAAGAAAATTGTAATTAAATATAGCTTTGTAAAGAAACGTACATAAAAATAAAAAATATTCTTTACTTTTTAAATCTTAAAACAAATGCACTTAGTCAAATAGCTCCCTACGAGTGGCTAATGGATGGAATCGAATACGGTTGCAGACCGTGCATACACGCGGACTGCCAAATCCCCAGGGTGCCGATACCGGTCAATGTCAAATACTTCTTTTGTCGCATCACTAGTATAACTCAAAGGACGCGACAGGGTTGTTGTAAATTTTAAACGTTTCTCATCATAGCTGTAAAAATCTAAATATGTTAAACTTTTCATTTGTTTTCTAATTCGTTTTAGGACCAAGTGTCCTCAGAAATTTCCAAAATTTACAACTTTTCGGTCACTCTGGAAAAATGTCTGTCTTTATTATATTAATAATACGAAGAAATCAGTCTCCACTGTACTCGGCTAGAGATGGTTCGGTTAAGCTTTCGTTTAAGTAAAATTTCGGCTCTTTCGTCAGGGTTTTGTTTATGTCCCCAATTCCCTAATCGCTTAATTATTTAACTACTTAAGTAGAAATAAATCGAAACCAGTTACTTTGTACTCGAATATTTGTAGTCTTGGGAAAAAAAGTGGAAATACAAATTTTTATGACAAACGGATACATAAATCGTAAATTTAAGGAAAATAAATTCTAGAGCTTTTTCTGTACCTCGTGCATCTCTCTCATTCATTAAATTTAGTTGTAAATGATGCTACCAAAGTAAAAGTTAATTTTTAACATTATACAAGAATTGTACACGTTTTTTTCTACATCTTAGGGATGGGACATACGAAATCGTAATATCACTGGTTTAACATTGAAATCCGCGAGTAATATAAAATCGGAAAGCGGAATAAATATATTAAATATTTTAATGGATTTTTTTAACTCCTGTCAACTATACAGAACTATCATAAAAACATATCAGCAAAATCTTATCGGTTGGGTTAAGTTATAAATCTACTCGTGATTCACGTAATCGGGCGAGGGCGGCCAAATACCTAGCGGGCGGGCGGCTAACAGCCCAGAACCGGTCCTGGATAGAATTGGATGAGTAAATCCACCCGAGGTCCTAGGCTTTCACCGGGTGAGGTTGGTGCTCTGTAAAGCGCATGCGCGAATCTGGGTTTTTGGAATCTGACAATACAGAGATTCCACTC